CCCCCCCCCCCCCCCAACCAGGTACTTCACCACACCATACTGGTTAACAGTCTAAATGTATTGATGCACTATGAAAAAAGTTAATATACCCTTTGCCTCAGAGGCAGGTATTGCCCCTTTTACATCATGTTGAAAGATCAATTTCCCTAATCATCTTCCAGGACAGCAACCTGAGAGATGATTGGTTCCACTTTCTACAGGAAACACAATTAGTAAAATAGTTAGCAGCCCTTCCCCTCGTACCTCAGTTTAGATTGTGTTTCCTACCGTCCAGGACCACGTCACGTTTGTTCTTTTCTTCCTGACCGTTTGGCCTTGAGGTCACGGATCCCCCTCTGTGCGGCTCTGCTGTTGAAGGTGTTTTTCCAGGGGTGCAACAGAAACCAGTCTCTTTCACTGAGGTTTTGGATAGAGCAGTGTCAGATTCTGGGTCAGAGAGTTCTCCGGAGGAGGGCGAAACCATTGAGGAGTCTGCTGAGTGTCGCCCGTCTAGGCATCTTTTTCCTTTAGAGGATATGGATTACTTGCTTCAGGCCATATACACTACTGAGCAGATCCATGATTCCTCTAAAAATGTGTCTGTACAAGACAGTTTATAGAGGCTTGTTAGAGCCTCAGGGAAGAGTTTTTCCCATGCATTAGTCTTCAAAGGATTTAATAGCGGGAGAATGGAAGGATCCAGAGAGAAAATTCTTAGCTTTCAGATCGTGGAAAAGGAGGTTTCCTTTTTAATAAAGAAGAGAAATATCTTAAATGTCCCAAATTAGATGCTTCTTTAGCACAAGTTTTTAAGAGGGCTGACCTTTCTTTTGAGGATGCAGGTACAATAAAGGATCAAATGGATAGAAAGGCAGAGGCAATGTTACGCAGAGCATGGGTTGCCAATGCTGCTTCTATGGCCCTGGGGGTGGCTGCCACTAGTGTGGCAAGGAATATGGATCTCTGGCTAGAAAGAGTCTCACTCCATATATCCCAGGGTGCTCCTCCTGATCAGATTCTAGAGTCTTTATCGGTTTTAAGTAGAGCAGTAGCTTATCTTGCAGATGTTTCCGCAGAGTCAGTTCGAGCAGGTGCAAGATCGGCGGCTTTGCTTAACTCAGCCAGAAGGGCTATCTGGTTGAAATCTTAAGAGGGTGACTTAACCTCTAAATCCAGACTCTGTGGTCTCCCTTTTGAGGGTGGTTTTATGTTTGATTCTGCTTTAGATGAGGTCTTGACCAGATCCTCTGAGAAGGGGAAGAAATTTCCGGAAAAGAAAGAGCATTCGTAACCGGAGGTTTTTTTCGCCCCCCACAGGAAAAAGTGCTTGATAGTTGACTCAATCTGCACACCAAAAAGATTTTTTTAACACTAAGGGAGATCATGAGGTTGTTAGGCGTAATGACCTCGTCCATTCCAGCACTGGATTGGGCCCAGTTTCTTATGAGGCCCCTGCAGAGGTTCCTATTATCCCAATGGGACAGGCAGAAGGAGTCTCTAGAAAGAAGGGTACAGATTCCGCAGGAGGTTCGTTTTTCCCTAGAATGGTGGCTGGCCCCAGACAGACTGAGAAAGGGCAGACTGTGGAATCGGGTAGATCCAGTAAGGATTACCACAGATGCAAGCTGCTGGGGTTGGGGGCTCATGCTTTAAGTCTTCAGGCACAGGGGTCCTGGTCCCAGAAGTTTGCAACATCCTCCTCAAACGTGAGGGAACTTTCGGCAGTAAGGGAAGCCCTGGTGGCCTTCCAGGCAGTGTTAGAAAATCAACATTTACAGATATTTTCAGACAATTCAACAACAGTGGCTTACCTGAATCATCAGGGTGGTACAAGATCACAACCCCTGTTGAAAATAGCTCAGGAGATTTTGGATGATTGACAGGCTTCCTATCCAGTCAGGAGTGACTGGTGAGGAAGCCTGTCATCGGCCAATCAGCGGCAGAAGAGGTCAGCATGGAGTAGATGACTAGGCTGTGACACGGAGTGGCTGAAGCAGACGGAGAAGACGACACAGCAGGTTAGTACTGCCGCACCTCATGGGGCTGGGTACAAAAATGCTGTTTACCGGCATATATTTAAAAAAAAAAAGAAAATAACTATGTAGATATTGCTAACTAAGGCTTGTATCCCCATAGTGGGGAAAATAGATGAGCACATGTCCAGACTGCAGACCAGAACACTGGCACAGCTATATCCAATTCTGCATACCTGGCTTTATATTATAAGAAAATGTAATTATAATAATATAAAGCCAGTTATACAAAATTGGATATATCTATGCCACACTATACAGTGTTCTGGACATGTGCTCATCTATTTTCCCCACTATGGGGATACAAGCCTTAGTTAGCAATGGCATGATAAATATTCATTTCATTATTCAATGTCTTTTTATTTTAAATATTATAATATTTAAAAAAAGACATTGAATAATGAAATGAATATTTAGATCATGCCATTGCTGACTAAGGCTTGTATCCCCATAGTGGGGAAAATAGATGAGCACATGTCCAGACTCCAGAACACTGTATTATTGTATAGTGTGGCACAGCTGTATCCAATTCTGCATACCTGGCTTTATATTATAAAGTTCTTATAATACCAGGTATGCAGAATTGGATATAGCTCTGCCACACTACAGAGTGTTCATGTTCTTCATAATATTAAGAAACTGACCTAAAATCATGATTTTGTATTGCTTTAGAAAAAATGTGACCTGTCCCTTTAAGAAAAAGTATCGGTACTTGTACTCTGCCTTTAAAAAAAAGTGGTATCGGTGCATCCCTAGTGGTTGTGTATTCGAGCCAGTAGTGCCAGGTAGCATTGAATCTAGGGGAAGTATCTTTGATGTGACTGGTGAGATCCTCCATATACCTAAGGTCATTTTCTGATTTTTAGATGTATGCCCTTTGAGAACAGCTGTTGCAAGAGTTACCTGCAGATCCTATGATTAGGTTTTGGGAAGACTTTTAGCATTACTCAGTCAGCACTTTAGCTGAATTTGGACATATTAGTGGCCTTTGCAATGTATGCCACTTTTATATTTCAGAAATTGCTAGCAATTCCATTCAACTCCCAAAGATATTACAATGACAGCCAGGCCTAACATGAAAGGCAGAGGTGATTTTCACATAGGTTGTAGGGGGGCAAGCTGGTCCTGCAGGACATTGACAGTGGTAGGGGTCATACAAACTAGAGAGCATGTCTGCCTTCCCTTTCCCGAAGTCACCAGTCAGTACTACTACAGCAAGTAGGTGGCTGGCAAAATCTTCCACGCCTACATCGTTCCGGCAGCATTAGCTAGCATTACTAATGCACCCGCTTCCTCCTCCACTGCTAATCCCACCATAGCCCTGTAAACTGAGTATTATACAGAATTGCTTAAAGTGGACCTTTACCTACCTACCCCGCCCCCCCTTTCAGTAAAAATCACCTCCGTGTGCAGCTCTGCATGCTGAAATCTTGAATTTTTTAAACATTTTTTGTTTTTACTTACAATTACAGTTTTTCCACTTCTTGGTTCTCGTAAGCATTAGTGTTTTAGATTAGTACAGTCTTAAAGGGTTATTAAACCCTCCGTTTTTTTTTTTTTGTTGCATATATCTACTGCTAGCAAGCAGTAGATATATGCAAAAAGTGTAAGCAAAAAACACTTTGAAAGGGTTAATATTTACCTGTGTCTTCCCCGCACGCTCTCGTCCGAAAATGAAAATTCTCAGGCGGCCCCAAAGCATCTTGGGGCATGCGCAGTTCACATTTTTGGCCGGGACGCAAGGAGAGACGCACAGTAAGTCTATGGATTCGTTCACCTGCATGCAGACACCATGGGACAGGAAGTGCCAGCAAGCTCAGAGGAGTCAGCGCTGGATCGGAGACCTGCCGCAGCTCTAGAGGGGCAGATGAAAAGGACAGGAAAGAAGATTGGATTAAGAAACATAATTTAAGGTAAGTGCTTTCATTAACATTGGGGGGAGGGGAAAATATTTTTTACTTTAATACAAATTAGTAGACTTAATGTGAGATCGGTGCGGTGGTTACTTTATAAGGCCCCATTCACACCTGACCGTTTTGTAGCGCGTCCTACGCTCGATGAACGCTCTACAAAACGGTCAAAAAAATAAATAGCACTGTAGTCAATGGCCTCGTTCCCACCTGTCCGTATTTCCGCCCGTCCCGAACGCACTACAAAACGGCCCACGCATGAAAAGGTCCCGAAGCGTTTTTTGCTGCGTATTGGTCCGTTTTGTAGGGCGTTTTCCATTAGTATACTGCCAAGTAGCCTTTGGAATCGCGCGTCTGTCGCGCGGCTTTTTTACCGCGAATCGCGGTAAAAAAAACGCGTGACAGACGCGCATATTACAATACGCATAGGTGTGAATGGGGCCTAATACACACAGGGACCATGGGGAGAAAAAGTAGCCACCCTCCAGAAGGAAGGACAGTGTCAGCACCAATTCAGAGATGATTTGAGGATCTACAGCTGAGTGATACACAAATAAGATACATTTTTGTTACTAGTTAAGGTACTTGAATAAAAGTTGGTAGCTGTTCAGGGCCCAAGAATCCCCCCTCCCCAGATATTAAGACCATCCTGGTACATATGCAGATCTGGAGAGGGAATTGTGTATTAATAAATACAGAGCTGAATATTGATTTCTGTCTATTTTTACCTACCTAGAGTTCAACACTTAGGCCTGGTTCACACCTGGGCATTTTACAGCGCGTTCCTACACGCTGTAAAACGCTCAACATGTGAAAACCAATGATTGCCTATGGGCATGGTTCCCACCTGGGCGTTTCTCAGCGCGTAGGAACGCGCTGCAAAACGCCCTACGCCCAAAGAAGTACAGGAGCTTCTTTGGGGCGTTTTGCCACGTGTTGCCATTGGTATTCCCGAGTGTGGATCGGGGTTAACAAAGCAGTAACCCCGAGCCACACTCGGGAATACAGCGTACAGGTCTTACCTTGTCCGCGATCCCCGCTGTGGCTTCGGCGGCTGCCGACTTCCAGGTTCCGTCCATTGCGAGCGGCCACGTCGCAGGGGGGCGGGGGCAGAGCCGGCGGGAAGTGTAAAAGTGAAACTAAAAAAATGTTGTTTTTTTTTAAATAGAGAAAATAAAAGGAAAAAAAACAAACAACAAAATCATGCCGCCAGTGAAACGTGTTTCACTGAACGAAAAAACGAGCATAAATAAAACACTCAGGTGTGAACCCAGCCTAAAGCTTTACCATGAGATTTGTAAATTGAGAGAGTATCTGTGGCAAATATTTAGCAGCAGGTTATTAATCTAGATATAGGTCAGCAAAACGTAGCACTGCTCAGCATTGGTTTATTTAAACTTGCTCGGTTGCTTTAATTGACACGCATAAACGCCTATGTTAGCATGCGGGCTAGCTTCTGTGTGAGGTCCGGCAGGTGGGGGGTGCCATGCACTGTTTCAGCGCATTACACTGTTTCCACTGCATTAGGGTCTGTGCAGTGTGCTGTGCTGTGTTACCATCCAGCGTGCTGTGGAAAAATACACATGTACATTAACCTGAAGCTAAAGTGTGCTAGACAGGAAACCAGCAGCTGTATCATAAATGACTAGGGGTTTTGCTGGCCTATAGTTGGGTGGGAGGAAGTAGGTGAGCATGCAAATGTTGGATATCTTATAAGAAAACAGTTTTGTGAGCTCTAGAGCAGATATTTGGGAATAAATAGATCAGGAATGCCATCTTTACTTACTGCATGCATATTCCAAGGCAGTGACTCAAAGGCCAGGGAAAATGGTATTTCAGAAGGCGCTCAGCAATGGTAACCTCCAGAGGTTTCCATGAATTCAATATAGTTATCTTAGTATCCCTTGAAACCAGAGCAAGGAGGGCTTTGACAGTTTTTCTAGGCAAAAGGCATCTACCATTCTGTGCAACCATTTCTCTTCAGAACTGCACAATATGCTTCTAGGATGCCACAGCAGCTGGATCAGAAGTATTATTAAAGTGGCTGCGGAGAATCAGATGCCTGATCTGCAGAATTGTTGACTTACAATTTTGTGTTACCAAGACATCTGGTTACCAGCAATCTAAGAACTTTACACAGTAGCATGACCTGATGTACTTAAGAAACAATATGATTAAAAACAAGAGTCCTGGGCAAATAGGTTGGGTGTTCCTACAAGGCAACAGCAACTTTGGAAAAGAATACCAACGTCTATTGTCTCTAGCACACCTTAGCCAGCATTCTGTTCCAAAATATGTTCTCTTCTGTGCCTCTTGTAGTGAGGAAACTTTATATGCTTGGATAAGTTCTTCTGAACTTACTGTACTGGCAGATGAATAACACCCCAGTATGTATTTTGTTACATACATTTGCACTAACTTTACAGCCATTCCCCACCTGATAAGCCACCATTTGACATCAATTGTCTATTGCAATAAATCTGTGCACACGGCTGAATTACCTTCTGTCTTGCATATCAACAATAATGCTTCATAAGACAAGTACATATGGAGAAAATAATTATCTTTATTTCTTCAGTAAGGACTTTTAATAAATTAGAGACATTGTCACTTCATGAGACAAAAAGGCAAAAGGAATACATCATAACAAAAGTCGGTATCAGCTCCACACCAGTGATTTAGGGTGTTTTCAATTGTATATTGAGAAAATACACATCTGCTCCTTAAAAAACAGATCAGGAATGACAGCTTCTATATTCTCAGATCCCCGAGGGGGGGCTCTCTCCTAACGCCTACCAGACCTAAAGGGTATGGATCGGGAGGGGGATCCCACGCTTCCCCCCCCCCCCCATTTTTTTACATAATGGGGGG